AATTGTCCATGGGCGCTATATACCGTGTTCGTAAACGTGATCTGCAAGAGTAAACGTATTAGGCAAAGAAAGAAAAAAATTCTATAAATATAAAGTAAAGAAAGAAACACTTATGAGAATATAGTGCGGTAATCAGAGCGCAATTCAAATTGTACTGTAAAATTGTATATGTAAAACTTTAACATAATATTTAAAGAGGTGGACATGTTCAGCAATAAACAAAATATCCATATTGAAATATTCGAATATTACAACAAATATATGTTTGTTTCACTTCAACTTATTGCACCGTGTGCACCAGTTCAGAGAGTGCAGCAATAAGAAATAGACCTTATATGTATACAGTAGAACCTGGATTATCTGACATGGTTTTCTTAATCTTTTTTCCCGGATTGTCCGACATAGGGTTCTTTCCAGCAAGAGACACAGATGACACAGTATAAAGTGGTAAGTACAGACTCTTGCATAACGCATAAACACATAAAAAATTCAACCAATCAGAGTGCTTTATTTCATGGAAAGGAAGGAAACGAAGGACTTTGTTTGATTCATTTTATTATGTATTATGCGTTACGCAAGAGTCTGTGCTTCCCGCTTAACACAACACCGAAAAAATTGTATTCTTGAAAGATGTACTTAATATTTCCTCTTAACTGAGATATAAGAATATTTCCTCTTAAATTAATAATATATTCTCGATTTGCGAAAGCGATCGTCACCACATGTATACTACACGCGCGCTTCACACGGTTTTTGATGATATCCCCTTTAAAACAATGCAACTTTTATCTGAAGCATTTTTCTCTAAAATGTATTGTTCAAGAGATATTTGAGATCATCGTTTAAAATAGGACATCCTGTATATTCTCATATTAAGAGAATATATTAATTTTTAGACGATTACCCTCTTAAATTAAGAGGATTGTCTCAGCGCTTATTTTAGAGGAAAACATACTATACGTAAGTGGGATATTCTTAAATTAAGAATACAATTTTTTCGGTGAATGAATCATTACATTCTTGTTATTTGCTAATGTTAAACGAAGATGACATGTTCACTGTGTTGCTTGCTGGAAAACACCACTCATTATCAAGTTCTTGTGATGATAACATTATGCTTACTGATTGAGAATCTTACTGATGAGCGAAATATTTAGAAATCGCTTTATAAGAGTTTTTATAAGAGGAAGTTATAAGAGTTAAAAGAGATAGTCTATTTAAAACTTAAATTTTGATAATTTGAGAGCAGAGTTTATTATGTTTTTAATTTTATTTTGATTAATATAATCATTATAAGCTCTTTTGTTTTTCAACTTTCATTATACAGGGTGATCCGAAATTCACGAATTCGGAGTACAGGATATGATACTTTATGCTAAAAGAAACAACTTTTTCTTTTTGCAAAATTGCGTCTAATAAATAAGCAATTAGTTTTTGCAGGAGAGCAGATTGAAATTATACGAGTAAACGCAAAAATTGTTTATCGAATGTAATTTTACTACAGTAAAAAGTTGTTCGTTTTAGCACAAAAAAAACTTTTTTTTTTTAGCAAAATTGCTCGATAAATAGTTTTTGCAGGAGAGCAGGTTGAAATGAACAAATAAGTACAAAAATTATTTATGGAACGCAATTTTGCTAAAGGAAAAAGTTGTTTGTTTTAGCATAAAATATCATGTTCTGTACTCTGAATTCATGAATTTTGGATCATCCAGTATATATTTTCATAAAAGAGGCTCTTATTTGTATAAATAAATTAGTACATTATAAATAAATAAGAAACGCTTAATCTTTCACTTTTACAACGCGTTCAAAATTACTCCAAGGTAATTCAAAACTGCAACACCTTCCCACCCCCAGAGGGTACTTTTGAACATAAAAAGTGGTTTTTAAAAATATAAATAAAATATATATGTCGTTATGATATTTGTTTTAATGTAGTTTATTATTGTACATCAATATCTGTAGTAATTAAAGGAAAGCCCTCTTTTATAAGATAGGCGCTTAATATGAGATATCGGCGTTTCTGCTAAACTAATAAACGCTATATATTGGTTCCATCATAAATGTATTTTATATATTGCTCTTAGATTTAAAACTATTTAGTAGAAAATTTATTATCAGATCATGCCTGTAATCATTGTAAAAAAGATTTTAGAATTTGCATGTCTTCAAGTTTTATTAAGATGAGCATTTAAACCTTGTTTATTATTTAATAAATAAATATTTGGCAAAATAAATTCTTCACGTATTGATAGGGTAAGATCACACTAATAGAAAAATATGGGATATGTTGAATTGTTTAATTACAGAAGTTAGATTTGATGATCGTAAAATCATAACGCGTGGAAATTGTAATATGAGATACCCAGGATATTTTTAATATGAAATAACCCATGCTCCTATGTCATAGTGAAAATCGTTGCTAAAGTATAAATGTTATTATACAATAATTTTCAATATTATTACCTTTATAAATGTTATTGTACAATAATAAAAAGGACAATCGGAATGAACATCGAGTGCCTATTTCTGCAATACTTGAGTCCAACTATCTAAAGACGAATTCTGGGTATAATTCATAGCATGCTCATTTATCGCGCACGCTGGCTGTGTTTGTTTGTATTTAAGAAACATTAAATAAAGTTCTTTAATTGCAATACTGATATTAGATATACTTTGCGTTTTACTATCGATTTCTCGGGGCATCTCATATTAGAAACACAATTTTTTTACTTTGTGATTTGCTCACTTCTTACGTTTCTCAAATTTTCATAAAAAATGGCATTTGAATTAAATTTTGTACAACGTTATCTTAAAGCTTATTAAATTCCCTTCAAAATAAAAAATTTATTATTTTTTTAAATTCTGCCCATTCTAGCATTTACCCAAAATGAACTCGGTATTTCATAATAGGGGCCTTTCCTCTACTAGCACAACAGAAATAATAACAAATAATTTCATTACATAGTAATTTATTAACCTAAGAAGAAAAAGTATTCAAAGCTACCCCCTATTTCTCCCTTACTTTAAATTCTAAAAGTATACTGCGTATTGCATCAACATATTGGTCAGTATATCAGATTATTTTGTAAATGTAGTACCTCTTTTTAGTAGGTATTACATTTATAAAATTAATCGATTGATTACATTTGTAAAATTGATCAATTAATTACATTTTATAAATATAATACCTACTTATAAATGTAATGTCTTTTCTAATAGGCATTACATTTATAAAATAGCCGACATACTGATCAATATGTTGATGCAACACGCGGTACATTTGTTTAACCACAGAAAACAGACCTCATGTACATACAAGGCCATTAGTGAACAGTTGTTTATTTTATTGCTAGGACGAATAAAAATTGCGTCTGTACACTCAATGACTAAAATTGTAATTTGCGTATGTAAAAAAAAATGTTTTTGTTTTTTATTGTATTTTACATGCTTTTGATGATATTTTTAATGGTTATAGAAATTTTGTTTTAAAATAGATTTGTCGATATTGCGTGCATCCAGAAGCGACGACCGTTCACTGAGCGTTCACTGAACAAAAAAGGGATTAATCTATTATTAATATGTTTATACTTATTATAATTCGTAAAGTAGAATAATTTTGTCTACTAGATGATCTTTAATATCATATTTCTTACTTGTTTATTACTGTTGATTATTTCTCTAATGCCGTGTTTAGGCCGTACGGTTATATAGCGCTCAGTTGAGCGATGGAGCGACTTAAAATTATACTCCACCGCTCACTACATAACCTTACGGCCTAAACACGGCATTAGAGAAATAATCAACACTAATAAATAAATAAGAAATATAATATGATATTAAAGATCATCTAGTAGACAAAATTATTCTACGTTACGAATTATAATAAGTATAAACATATTAATAATAAATTAATCCCTTTTTTGTTCAGTGAGTGCTCAGTGTGCGGTCGTTGCTTCTGGATGCATCCATTGTTTAAATCATTTTTTTAACTTCTTTCAACTTCAGTTTTACACATGTTTGTAAAATTCAAAACTGTGTCATTTTCTTTTTTGTACTTTTACTTATTCTAATATAAATAAATATTTTTATAATTAATGTGTTGTAAGAGCTACTTTATTATTATTATTTTTTAAAGAAATTGGATTTTTGTACTCATGCACAAAAATCTTTACGTTCAAGTGCTCAAATAAATCAACTTTATTATATTATTTTTTTCAAAGTACATATCCTTAAGTATTATAACTTAGAGAGATTTGTTTTATTTATTCATATATAAAAATTATAAACTTTTAACCAATTTAGCGTTTTTTTAAAACTTTTACTCAGAGAGATTTCAATATATAAATAAATAAATACAGTTAATCTTATTATATAGTAACTTGTTACACGAATTATTTTAGATTTTTATATATTTCTGGAATAATAAAAAAGTATCTTGTGGTTCTCAACGGCCAAAGGTACGCATGACTATGACGAAAATTTTATTGTGCCGATGGAGGATTAAACATATTGTTAGGAATTTTAGCAATTAAAAAGAATTTGTTATGTAGATTATAATTAAAAATTAAAGTGTATTTTGTCTCGAAATTATGATTACACCTAGATTTACAATAAGAGAGAGAGAGAGAGAGAGAGAGAGAGAGAGAATTTAACAAATATTTTTTTATTACTCAAACTCAAGAGTGTTTACTGATTATTTAAATAATTATTATTTATTATAACACATCAAATATAATATGTTAAATAGCTAATATACTAAAATAGCTTTTTCTGCAAGTTTAATTTACAAATTTCTCAAAATTGTGACGTTATAGAATAATTTGGTAAACGGAAGCATATTTAGCGTCCAAAACTATGAGAAATAATTATCTTCATATTTTTACATTTTTTGTCAAATAATGTAATAGATTTATAAAATGGAGATTTAAGAGGTGAAGTATGTATTGTCAAATATTTAGTATATAAAGGTGATAAATTGTGAAATTATAGATCTTCAGGTCCCAAGCAATAGGTTTATTTATTTCGTTTTAAGTTGTTGAAGATTTCAAACAACACAAACAAACCTCTTATTTAATTTTTAGATTTAATTAAATGTGAAATATAAAATAAAATCAGAAAAGATTAGGTATTAGACAAGACGTGTTTCGAATTTATTGTTCCTTCGGTTTTCCATTCGAGAGTTCAGTGGAGATGCTGTTTATTTCCATCTTTGTTTCGATTGCCGGTTTTTTCTTGATATATGCTTTATAATAAAAGTCTCCAAATAATATAATCATAAACAAATTCTGCGGTACCATCACATATATCGGCCATAGTGGAAAACCGCAATTTTCCACCCAGGTTAGTTGTAAAAAGTGTAAAGTGATCAGGAAGAATTGGACCAGCTGCAATTGAGTGATGTGCTTTTTCCATAAGCTTGTGTTTATCTTCATGGATGCTAACAGATAGTGCGTATACATTATTATGTGAACAAATGTATTAATGTATCCTGAAACATATTATTAGTAATTAACTCATTATAAAATAAGGATACTTTTGTTGGTGCGTGAAATTTATTAGTGAATCATATGGCGCGCCTGCACACTCGCTCAAAATATTCAATTTTTAAAAATACACAAATGACTTGTTTACATGTTGAGAGGAAAATAAATTTTTCTTTTAATATAAAAATTACATTCGATATACACATAAACGTGAAAGAATAATATAAAAACGAGAAGGAATATTATATTTATTTTCTAATAAATATAACATAATGGTGAGAAGAAGTTATGTTTATTATAAAATAATAGGAGATATGTTTATCACTTTTATTTAGAATACTTAAAGAAGCTACATGAATTTTTAAATATTTTTTAAATTAGTTAATCTATTAAAAAAAACATTCCAGCCATTAATGACTCCTGTTCGTACTAAATAGATCCGTATTATAAAAACGTTTTTAGACGGTGAGAATTAATTATATCGCAAAATGTAGTATTTTAATAGCGATTTCGACTGGGATGCACTTAGTGTGCACTGGTGCATATAAAGATCGTTGTACAATGAATAGCGATTTCGGCTGGGATGCACTAATGTACATAAAACTGTCATACACAATTGCCGTAAAAATGTATTGAAAACAGATTAAATCGTACAATCCCCAATATATTTTATTGTACTGTTAATAAAACATATATTTGATAATTTCCATTTCGTTTTCACTTCGCACTCATAGTGATTTCGGCTGGGATGTACCGACTGCACATTTCGGGTAACTGATGTGTTCGGCTGGTTGAATGGTGTAGTTCTCCGTCAGTGGCACATGTTCGTTTGGACTCGGTACACAAGTGTACACAAAGTGGCCCCGACAAATTTGTTGGGGCCAGTTGGTGTAATTGTCGGGCTTGGTGCTTTCATAAGACGCTGAAAAGCAGAGTGTGTGTGATCACGTGGTATTACCCAGATAGCACATTATATTCTGAGAATATACTAAAAAGGTCAAGTCTGATATTCGTATGATATTCCTATGTCCGCAGCAACATTGTTTGCAGTATATCCTCACAATATCGAGATGAATTTCGAAAATTTTCCTTAAGAGTGTGTAAGAAATATCTATTAAAAATAATGTTCTTTGCTAACAGAATATTATTTTTAATAGATATTTCTTACACACTCTTAAAAATTGCTGCGGACATAGAAATATCGTACGAATATCAGACGTGACCTTTTTAGTATATTCTCAGAATATTCTCAGAATATAATGTGCTATCTGAGCAATTTTGTAGCTAGTGTCTGATTTCGGGTACGGTCCACTTAATGCTTCGGAACTTTTATTTGAAGAAAGAATTTTACCTGCACTGAAAAAATTTTCTGGTTGAAAATGGACGAATCAGAAATTTCTCTCTCTCTCTCTCTCTCTCTCTCTCTCTCTCTCTCTCTCTACTGGTTAAATTTATTAGAATTCTAGTTGAGATAACCGGAATTCTGGTTGATATTATATTTCTAGTAAAATCTACTAGAATTTTTATTTTTACCAGAATAATTCTATATTAATCAGAATTCTAGTTATCTCAACTAGAATTCTAATAGACATAACCAAAAAATTCTGATTCGTCCATTTTCTACCAGAATTACTGTTTAATCCAACCAGACCATTTTTCTCAGTGTGACCAATCAAAAAATACTTCGAAGCATTCGTAGCATCGAGTGGATCGTAGCCAGGCATAGACTATGTCTGAAAATTGATATTCTTGTAGCGTCAATTTTGATTTTATCATGAGTGATTTATATGAGTGATTTTACATGTGCTTATGGAATTTTTGACATCATCGTCATTAAGTGACGATGACGAATTAATATTGATAGAACATAAAAAGAAAGCAGAGCGAAAATTAAAAATTACATTGAAGAAGTCGAAACCCATGTGAAACAGTACAATTATAGACTTCATTTTGCCTCTGTGACAAATTTCCTAACCTCAATAGTCATCAACTTTAACGCTTAATATCTCAGATCATAAGGCAGAGCGACGCTTTTTTGCCAGATTCTTTCATTTCATGCAAAAACGTATCGAATAATATCCGATGAAACAGTGAGTTTTGCAGGTTAATGAGATTCACATTTCGTGAATCTCGTGTTCACCTGACGAAACATACACTGCCGCAGTGATAGGTATTAACAGTGTACAACCATGATAAAAATACAAGGGTATGCTCATCAATTGTCTAAAACTCGTTCAGCTTGCGCATGTCCTTGCCTACGTCATATTCGGGTACGCGTTGATTGGTCGGTTCTGATTCGGGTGCAATCGGTGGTTATCGGTCGTAATTTATCATGGCGTCCATGGCGTAGTGCACGTTGTCATCGGTAGAAGTTAATGTTAAAAATATTTTCACCTGCATAGTGAAAGGATGCGGCAATTATATGAAAAAAACAAAAAAAACTGAGGGAAGTAAAATTAAATATTTTACCTTTCCAAAACAATCTGAAATTGCTGAACAGTGGCGTAAGCCACTCGTTGTGACGTAAACAAGGACAAAAATCTGATTGGTCATGCGCATGAGCATACCCTTGTCTTTTTATCATGTGTACAACGGCCTTGATATGCATCTGTGCACGTTGGTGTTTCCAACCGAAATCGCTATTCTTATCGACATTCGACTAGCGCGATTACGACGCTACCCTGATGCGGTCGGTAATAGAGGGAACGGATATATCGATATAATATGGCGAAATATAGAGAGAAAGTGAACGTTGATCTATTGGTTTCGATATATCTTGCCTTACCGTATTTATCCTGCATTTATGTATTTATATGTATTCAAGAAATATATATATAAAGCATTAAGGGGATGCTGGAGTGTCCTGTTTTACCATTAATTTTTAAAGATTTCTCTCTTAATTGTGTTTATGGATTGAAAAGTCCTTCTCCACAATTAAAGTATCGACAACAACACAGGCTGGCAGCTACAATTTAATGCGAAAAATGAAAAAAAATTAAAAATTGTAGTTTTGTCACCGGCTTCTGCAGTCAACTCGTCACAATATGTGCTGCATATAAGAGTTTCGGATTTTACCCGTTTAAAATAAGTTGCCAGCAGCCTACAGAAAACTTTGAAGAACAATCCTATGCTTTTAGAAACGAGGTAGGGGCTTTGGTATAAGAGAAAAGAGTTGCCAAAAATTTCGTTTGTATACTACGAATAAAATTGATGTGAAGTCATGAAATCGAACAGTATTTTAGTTGATCTCTTTCTAAGAGATGGCGTTGCAGTATGTTAGATAAGGACAGATGAATGCGTCTGATATAATAAGTATAAGAAATGAATGAAAGATGTCACTATTGTCGAATTTGGAATTTAAAAAAGTCTGTACTATCGACCTTGATTAACTTCGACCGCCACTCCAGCATCCTCTTAATAAAAATTAAATTAAAATCAAATTTTTGCATTTCTTTTACATACCTAAGACCGTGACATGACCACCAGGCAACCATTTAACGGCACCCCAAGCACCCATTAGGATGCCAATATGATGATATAAATGAAGAAACGTTATTTGGTTCTGCTTTTTTCTAAGTACGAAAAAGATAGTATCCATTAAATCTAGTAGCTTTATTATGAAATAATTCCAAACCAATACGGTGATCTGTAATAGACAGAGATATAAGTATTATAAGTAAACATTAATCCATTAATTTTTTTCTACCTCATATAAAACAAATGTAAATATATTATATTTTTACATAAACTAAAATATTACAATAGTAATATGCTACTTTCAACTGCATAAAATGCATTTGATAAACGAATATACTTGAAATTAAATAGCTTTGGATGTAGCAAAGATCAATTTCTGAGAGAGAGAGAGAGAGAGAGAGAGAGAGAGAGATTAAGTAATTTATTCTTTTTACAATTACCTCCCTTGCCTTTGGTGAATCCGAATAATCGATAGGTTCGCAAAAGAAATTAAATTTTATAAACCAAGGTGATGCCTGAAATGTATAATTACAAAATAAACTTTTGTAAATAGAATAAAGGCCTTGGTCTTATATATTTAGTCGAATAATTATTAAATTATGGATTGCGTAAAATATTTATAATTATTTAAGCATACCGGAGAGTCTATAAAACGTGTATGATATTTTTAGGAGTTTCTTTTCTTAAAACATCAATTTTTTTTATATCTTTCTTAAATTACGTAATTTAATAAAAAAATTTTTTTAAATTTCTGTCAAATTGTGTGAATAATAGAAGAAATAATAGAATCAATATTTTCTTGTTTTATATTATTATAAAATTAGACATTAAATAATTAATTAAAAATGTAATGCTACTTACTTTGTATAATAAATAACCATTTAATAAAATTTGTATCATATTGTATATTTGCAATATCCTGTATAATGTGAAAGGCTGTCTTTTTTCCATGAGTCTCGGTCCAAAATTATATATAAAATAGAGATAAAATCCAATCAAAGTTAAGCCAGGCCATGGTGTACCAATAAGAAAATAATCTTTTGTACGTGGATCTTGCAATGTAAGAAATAAATCAAGTTAATAAATATGTAAATCATTAAAAAATATGTACTAAATTCTTATTGTATATTATATGAAATATATTTTAAATAATATTATCTACAAGTAATTATTCTAAATATTTTAAATCAATTTGATATACCTCATATAATTATTATCAAGCATTTTACAGTTGTGTATAAAATCTGACATGAAATGTATACTGAGAGATAATAAACATTTATATATCGTTTTTATTGATAAAATTTGAAACATCGCTTTAAAATATTAAATTAACGAATCTAATTGAATATAAATGAATAAGAAAAGAATAGTTACAAAAATTGCCTTTTCATTTCAGTGTAATTTGTGGTTTTTTTTCTAAACTTAGATTTTATTTTTACAAAAAAACAATTTTCTACTGGCCATTAGTTTATTTGCCCTATTATTATGTTATATGTATATAACATTATATAACATATGCGAACAAAATGTGCAAAAATAATAAAAAATTGAAGCTATGGAAATGTATTCGATAATATTGGAAATGTATGTCAATAGTCGTGTTTTAAGCTACGTATTGCGAAAGAGAATGCGCTCATATATACGGAGTTTAAATACTATCTAATATTTTAAAAGTTAATTTTTTAAGTTATTTTATGAAAAAAAGTAAATTATGAATATAGTGCCAAAATTTTAAAGAAGGAATTAAATAAAACAATAAGATATAGAGAAACAACGAAATGATAAAAGAATAACCTGGCATTTTTGTTGTACTGAAGATGACTGGATAACAGTCGAAACGTTTACAAGTAATTTAAATATTGATATAAATAGATGTTGTGTAAAATAACATCCTATGGTTGTTGTTTGGCCTATATGCTTCTTTATTGTTTATTAGATTTTTTAAATTTTATCCAATAAATTGGCAAGATATTGTCTTTATTTTTTACCTCTGTCGTCGCTATCTTATTAAAAATTTATAAAATAGAAATGAGATTTATATAGTACATTACTACTCAGAACTGAAGTACAATTAACAGAGGATGATTAATTTGACTTATTGTTAAAGATATACAGGATGTTTTAGAATATTTGGGATTATTCTCAGATAGAGCGGACTAAGTTGAGTCGAAAGCCTCTACAACCTTTCAATTTTCGCAATAGTTAACGAGTTATTAATTATTAAAAATATTGGCCCGGTTTACTGCTGAATGTAAGCACGGTGAGACGCAGCTACTCACGAGTATGTTTTAAAATTCGATTCTATCAACTCGAATATCATTTTAATCTTGTTGTTCACTGAATATTGAACAAGGATAGAAGATATTCGAGTTGACAGAATCGAGTTTGGAACGTACTCGTGAATGGCTGTATCTCACCGTGCTTACATTCGGCGATAAACCAGGCTAACCCAGCGATTAAGGTTGCTAGACACGCGGAGTTGTTTTATTTTACTTATTACTAATAAACAACTTTCCGTGTGCCTAGCAATCTCGTTTGCTGGGCAGCTCCATCTTGCAGTGCGTTAACTATTGCGAAAATTGAAAAGTTATAAGAAACTTTTTGATTCAGTTTAGTCCGTTCTATCTGCATACGAAAATAAATATTCTGGGAAATCCTCTATCAAATTTAATATGGGAAACATGTATCAAATTTAATGTTTATATATTTTAAAGAAAGGTAAGACATAAAGAATTTTTAAAACCTTTCGACGTTTAAGAGCTGTTAACAAAATTTTACAGAATTTTTATTATTCCGTATCTCTCTAAAATGTGGTCTTCAAGAGGTCATATACATATATAGTCATATGACTTATTTTGTAAAAGAATCTTGAAAATGTTAAGTTCTAAAATATTGAACATTATTTAAAAATTAAAGAGAAGCCTATTTGTTTATACGTATTCATAATAGCAGTATTTGTTACATGTGAACTATATACATATTTTTGTTAATTATACACGTAAACTTTGAGTCCTCATATACATGTATACACGGAGAAAACACCTACGATTGCCACGACCAAAAGTCGCTCATCAATACATTTTTTTATTATAAGAATTATAGTATGTTATGGTAACCATAAGATTAACATATCTTAACGATTATGGCTGTAAACATATGTCTGTTATGGTTATCCCAGAAAGCACAGAATATGTTTATGATAAATATTTGTTATTATTTATTTTTTGAAATGTTATGTATATAATATTTTATACATATTTCATATACAGCTTTATTTGAAATATTATTAAAAGATAGACCATAAAATATTTATTGTAATATTTATAATAAATATAAATAAATATTTATGTTAAGTATTTTTATTTAAAATATAATGTTTTATTAAGTATTTCCATAGCATTTACTACAAAATTTATAATAAATATTTCATAATATTTACAATATATGTTTATAATATATGCAATCTAAGCCACAAAAATATTTACAGAATATTTAAAATAAGCCTTATAAATATTTATAAATATTTTGTAAATATTTTATAAATATTGTGTGCTGTCTGGGATCAACCAAATGTATTGACGGGCGAAAATTATTATTATTCCAAATTGTGGCAACCGTAACATTTTTGTGCGCGCGCACGCATGTGCGCGCGCACACACACACGCATACGTCTATTTTTACACGTATATTTGTCAGGGTTGGAAGTTTGTTTATAAGTTAATTTTAAATTACCTTATAGGTTATATTATTTTATATATCTTATATATACTTGTTATAAAATTAATTACTAAAAGTAATACAAAATTGAAGCAAATGATAAAATATGAAAAATAAAATACCCGAACTTACAGTACTCAACTTTTATGACAAAACGCAACCTGTAAAGTAACTTTCCCAATTCTGTATACAGGGTGTCCCATTTGAAGCTTCGGACGCAATTATCTGCCAAATCATTTATTATTTAAGAAAATATTTCAAGTGGAACTTACTTTGCTTCCTCGAGACAGACGTCTTTTAATGGTCATAGATTTTCTCGAAGAGGACGTGTTTCCAAGATGTCAAGATTACCTTTATTTTTTAAAATAGAATTATATAATTTTATTTACATAATATAATTCCTCTAATTATTTTGCATATAAAAGTATTAAGGTACAATTATTAAAAAATTAATAGTTTATGAGATATTTAATATTTCATGTTATATGTGCAAAAATAAAGTATAAAGTATCTCTTAAACTATATTGGTTTTTTTGGTATGTCTACCTTAATACTTTTATATGCAGAATAATTAAAGAAATCATATTATGTAGAGAAAATTATATAATTCCTATATATTTCAATTTGACGTAATTGATTTAGATTACATATAAATACTGAGGATGACCAATACAATGAAAGGATCGAAATGTCTATTTTTAATTTGTATTATTTTTATTTCGTGCAAAAACATCCAGCGTAAAGCTTGACCATAAAGAACTGTTATATATACTAAAAAAAAAACCGTTACATAAATAATATAATTCAAGTGTAAAGCGTAAAGCTTGATATGGTCATTATCATTGTTATTATTTATTAAAACCTTGTTTATTTCACGATACATAATTCCTTTTTAAAAAAAGAAAGCTCGCCTTAAAATCTTGGAGGCACGTGTACCTAGAAAGGATCTCTGTGGTCATCAAAAGATATTTCCCCCGAAACATTTTTTTAAATAATTTAACGAATAGCTTGGAAGAAAATTGCGTCCAAAGTTTCAAATGGAACTATATGTGTATGCTTGTATATGTATATATATGTATAACTTATATACTTATTAATTATTTATAACTTGACACAAGCGAAGTCGAAATGTTTTTGAATGAATGAATATCTCAACTGTCCATGCAAATTCCATTCTCTTTTTGAAATATTTTTATAATTGAAGGATATTACAAATTACAAATTGTTTTCTTTTATAATATTTGATAATATTTCCCTTATAAAGAATTATTCTAAAAAATATGAAATAAATATCCATAAATAAGAAATTTTACGTAAAACGAAAGTATAAGATACTTATAATCTTATAAGTAATAATATAAAACACTTACCCGCTATCTCGTCATTAAGGTATCTATACCATGCTATGAATGTCTGTATCAGTGTAGCCATGATGATACTGAATAAATTTTGGTGCTATTTTTTATGCAATTGTTAAAAAAAATCGTCATGCGATTACTGCTTATCACGATATTCATATGAATAATAAAAGAGAACACACATTGATTAATTAGTTGATTAATTACTTCTTTTTCTTATCAATATATTAATAGTTCTGGTGAAAAAGCGTGTTTTTCAATTTCAGCTTTTTTAAGCACTTATTCTTAATTATCTTGATTTCAACAGATTAACTTAAACTTTAATGTTTTATTTTAGGGGATACTTTTACTGATCACGTTTTTCGACATTTACTTTAACGCGACTAGTCACTACGAAGTTTGCAAACCGACTGCGGCAATGCGTTTTCCCTTTCCGCTCCGTCACAATGTTAACATTTCATTGTATTGTAATTATAACAGGCTTGTGTAACAAACACGGCATCTTTCAAGCATCACACTGATGTGTACCCCTTTTAGGTAATGTGACCTCTTAGGCAACTTGGCCCATCATTACAATTATGAAAAAAGGGCATTAAATATTTATAGATGATTATATTAATGAAAAGGAGAGAGAGAGAGAGAGAGAGAGAGAACCCAAGTTTGGAATTTCATTTAAATTTCGACCTTTCACCATTTGGCGAATTTTCGATCATTCACCTTTAGCCAGTTTAATCAGTTATTGACATAACATAGAGTTATATTCTAATATAACAATAATATTTGATATGCATCATTCATTAATGCTTTAATCATAAGAATTATTTAATAAAAGAGATATTAAAAACTGCCATACTTTTTCAAAATAATTTCACACAAAAATGGAATATAAAATTATTACAGAAGATTATTAATTAGCATTATATTTATTTGTATTTATATATAAATAAATAAATAATATTTAACAATAATTTTGTCCTTTCTCTTTAAAATTATTTAAAAATAATTATATTACATATCGATGTATTGAAATAATGTTAAAGTAAACGTGTCATTGATTTATTTTATAAAAATATCTCAATTTATTTTTACTTTTTTAACATAATAAGAAAAAATCATATTAATAAAAAAAATGTGTAATTATATTTTACAATAAAATAAAATTAAAAATAAATTTTAATTTAACATAATTTTGCAGCAATATTATTTTTTATATACATACACACAAAAAAATAATTGTTTTCTAAAGTACAAACTCAGTAGGGTAAATATAGGTAATGTAAAGTAGAACTGTTAATACGGAATAAGAACTTATTTTTTAAAAACCCATTGCATTCTGGTGACAGACAATAGAAAATTAGTATTGTCATTGTTGCCAATCGTGCCATAATAAACAATTATTGGAAGAGCTTCGTTTGCCTGCAAAACGATTGCCTACAGCTTTGTTTGGACACAGCAATATTACACACAGCGTATTGTCGTGTGTTCAATATGTGCAATATTGTTGTGTATGCAATGTACTCTCTAAATCTGAATCAGTGGATAGTCACTAATTACCCAGATACTTTGCACTGATAATCAGCGAAGTTCAATTAAAAAAGGAAGAATGTCTAAGCATTATATAACTAAAATACTGATATTTGCACGTTAATTTCAATCTTCCAATACCATATTCATTGAATTTAAGCACTAAAACAAGGTTAGTTAGATCACATAATAAAGCTAGGTTAGGGATCTCACATTTAGTTCACTGATTACCAGTGGCATACTTGGCACTGATATCAATGATTATCAACTGATTCAGATTTAGAGAAAACGGGATCCTCCCCAATTATTTAATTGTATTTCGATCAATTCACATAAATAAACAAGTTTATACTTTATTCATTGTATTATTATTGTTTATTACTGTTTATTGAAATTTAACTCGCGTATTCCATTGAGAACTTTTCATTTTTTTGAGCCCTTTTATTTTTATACTTTTTACTTTGTCCTTAATATTGAAGTAAACTTAAATTTTAAAGACTTCCAATAATTAGAGGTTTGTTCACGTCGCATGCTCCAATATGCTTTTACCATAGCTCCTACTCATTCCAACGCGCTCGTCGGAGTAAGTAGGAACTATGGTAAGAGCATGTTGGAGCATACGACGCGAACAAACCTGATGTTAGCTAATACGTATTAGATGTTAGCTAATACGTTTCTTAAGAGTTCTGCATAAACTAAAAGTATAGATAATTTAATGTACATTTTAAGGAAATCCTAAAATCATCTGTATCACCGACTAAATCGTAATTTTTGTATAACAATTACTTTTTCCTCTTTTACAGAGATTCAAAAATCCTTTTCCAGCATTAAAGTATACGCAATAATACGTGTCTGTGAAGTGGAGTTTATGCCGAGAACGATAAAAAATTTTGAAATTGAAATCTTAAAAAAAATTTTTTGTTGTTCTCGGCATAAACTCCACCTCACAGATACATATTAATGCGTATACTTTAATCCTGAAAAAGAATTTTCGAATCTGTAAAAGAGGAAAAAGTAATTACAATGTATTGTTGGCTATAATGAATAAAATTCGATACAATATAAATTCAAAGCTGTTATAACCTAGCTGGTTGATGTTGGCTATTTGTTTATTAATATGATATAATCATGAAATAGATCAAATAGATTCAAATGTTTGACCAAATATGTGGTTCTTTTCAATGAATAAATTAATGAGTAATTAAATTCACATGTTAATAATATAAAATTCGCATGTTAACGATATAATCTTACACTTCGAGGTCTTCTATCCATTATATTGTTAGTATTGTGGTCTTTGATGTGTATTTTTAATTTATTAACGTCCTATTTTATGGTGTGTCGAGTTATAAAATTTGTGAACTTAAGTGGACAGAGAAATCACAGTTTCCAAATCTATATGATATAATTGTGTAATAAGTAAGTGTGAGAATTTAATTAGACTAAATTATAATTATGATAAAAATACCTGTAATTTCAATGTTAACAGAATTTTTGTTGGTCTTTGAATATTGTAACCTTCCTTTTTGACAGAACATTTACGAATGATCTTTTATCGTGTGATTCTATATGTTTGTTTTTGGTAGTGAACATATAATTATGTAGGAGACAAAAGATCCAGGCTGGGGAGGTAAGCGTTCGGCAATCGTTCTGTATTGTTCTGTTTGTTTAGATCTTTAGTTTTGTTTTTAATGTATATCATTTCAGAAATAGTTCTTTTTACATAAGAGGGCTCGTTATCTAGAATTCTTATGTTTTCCCAGACAAATGTATGATTGTGGAAGATTCTATGTTCAGAAATTACTGAGGGGAAACCACTTTTTTTGTTGATGTCATTTTGATGTTCTTTTATTTTTGTGTCCAGTTGTCTTTTGGTTTGTTCCACGTATGTGGCTTTATAATCCTGGCATTCAATCCTGTACACTACTTCACATTTATTTATTTTGTCTTTGCCTGTTTTAATAAATCGGTTTAGATTGTAGGGTATTGTAAATGCGGTTTGCATTTTAATTTTGTTAACTATGGTTAAGAATTTGTTGGTTGCTTCTTTAGTGTATGGAATAGTGAAGAATTTTTTAATGGTTTTTTTCTGTGTTATTAGTTCGTTTGTTTATTGGTTTATTGTTAAAATGATATTTGAGTTTTTCAGTTATAGTTTTAAAGATAAAATTTATATAGAGTAACTATTTTGTAATAGAATGTTAATCATTTCGTGAAGATTTTTCAAATAAAAACGAATGAAATATGGATTTGATCTTATCTAACATTCCCATAATAATTCTTTTTTTATGAGAAATTGGATGGTAGGGATTGTAGTTTAGGTATCTGTCCGATGAACTGATCTTTTTATATAAATCAAATATGATATGGTTGTCTTCTCTAATCAATTCATCTAAGAAATTTATGTAATTGTTATTTTTAATTTCCATCGTAAATTTTAGTCGCTCATGTACAGAATTAAAAACTTCATTACCATTCATTATCACAATCGTAAGAAATTGACAACAAGATGTTATCAATATATCTATAGAAAAATGGTATGTTAAATAATAATCTGCCATCGTCAACATCTCTATATTTTGCATTATAATGTCAGCAATTATGGGCGAGCCCATTGGAACTCCGAAAATTTATAACATGTATTGTGGTACATGAAATAAGTGGATTTAAGCATCATATTTACACCAATTTTGAATTCGTCTAATGAAATTAGTAATTTGTAGTGAATAAAGTAATTGTTATACAAAAATTACGATTTATTTTAATATTCATTTACATCGGAGTAATGTTAATTTACAAACAGATACTCCATATTATACCTGTTTTTATCCTACTTACCTCTTCTAGTTGACAATCTTGTAGTTGATATAGTTAATTCCCAAAATTTTTTAAGCCGCTAATTTGACGGCAACACAATTCTTCAGTTTCAGCTTTCTCGCGAATAATTACGGCTAATTACAACATAATTGCACTTACAAATGTTCAGACGCGTGACATATTGTTAAGAATGCGAATATGAAGTATTGCAACAATCGCGACCGACATTCAAGAAAAGATATACATTGTGATGTTGCTATTTTTACATAGTTTGTATAACAAAAAATTATTTTACTGCCTTCTATTAAAATATGCACTAATATTTATCTATTAATATTCAATAGTAATTGTAACGTTCCTTATAAGCAAGTTTTAATTTCCTCTAGCTCCCATTAATTATAATTTTCTAGTCTTTAAATTAGTTTAAAGTTAAAAATTTTGGAAATTAACTGTGTCAATTATAAGATTTTCAATTTCGCGAGAAAAAAATTTTTCATATATATTGTAATTATACACGTAAAAAAATATTTTGCTGCTCCAACTAGAATTATCGCTATTTTTTGTATCTGGTAGAAAATTATGTATCATACACGAAAAATTTATAACACAATATTCTAACAATATATACAAGAAAATTTAGGTCTCATAATCAAATATGAATTTCATTATTTGCATTACAAAAATTTATTTTATGGAAAAGATTTTCATTTGTAATTTATATTGCTAATAGATGTCTAAATACTTTTATAGGAACAGACCAAGAAATTTATACGGATCTTTTATCATATAAGCAGATCAAAGAAGTTTTATAAGAATATTTAATCTCACACACAATAAAAGACTATTTCTTTTTTTATTTAATTATATTCGAGTTCATATGATAGATTGATTGGTCGTTTAACATACAATGTGCTGTAACACAGGATACTGACCGCGTAAAACAGACAACATTCTTAAAGTGCTAATCATATAGAAAATACCTTTTAATCAAGAATTGTTATTAATGTGAGGCTTTCTCTATTTAAACTGCAATTTCGTTTATTTTTGTTTATTAG